CATTTACGTTCGCACATATCTTTACAAACACAATCAGCTAACCCACCCTGGACGACCATCGTTACCAGATCAACGAGTACCAGCCCACCCACGGGTGCCCTCCGCACATAGACGCCCCCTCCGTCGGCCCAGTGATTGCCATGTTCAGTCTAGGAACACCGACTGTGATGACTCTTCGGAACCCTCGGGAACCAGCTCACACGGTGTGTAGTCGCGAAGGGTTATTGTTGGACTATAATTGTGCCGTTCAGTTGTTATACACATGTGCGTGGTTCAGTACCGGTGCCGGTGAGAGCCATACTCATCACAATCACCGGATGATATGGCTTTTAAAACCTCTTCTTTTGGTGGGGGGGGCTCTATGATGCCTGTCGATGCGAAGTATGACAATAAGGTGTTTGTTGCAGCGGAAAACATTTCTATGTACGATATATAAAATGTCTTCCATTTGTACGATATATATATACTGTCCTACTGTCTTCCATATGTGTGATATATATGCTGTCTTCCATATGTATGATATGTATACTGTCTTCCATCCATATGAATTGCCGCAAGCGGGACTACACTCGAGTCGCACGCACTTATTTCCTGCAACCGGGGTGTTTATAAGTTCTGCAACAAATTAATGGTCCAAGCATTCATCTGTGTACATGCTCTGTATAGCGGAAGCTTGATTTGTCCAAAAAGGGATGTGATGCAATGTACACACACGAGCATATTAGCGGAGTATATTTTCTTTTACTGCTTGCTGAGAAAGAGAGTTTCGTCTTCATTCGATGTGAGGTTAGGCATTTTAATCAATATCAATCGCCTTCATTTTGGGGTCCTGATTAAGCACGCGCTACTTATTTCGGTCACAATGTCCACCTGTCAGTACGAATCAGAGTCACTGTGTGCGTAGACCCCCGAGAGCACTTTCTGTTACCTTGCAATGTGGGATGGTACACCGATGTTGAACACTCCGGTCCGTTTGTCTGCTTGTGCACCTTTCAATACTTCAATCGAACCCATCCAATGCAGGGACGTATACTGCTAGAGGAACGATCGTGCCTAGTTCTTAGTGGACAGGCACGTGGTGAGTGGTTACATGGCGTTGATGGCAATGCGACACAGCCGTTCAAAGACCAGACTATTAGCAGAGGCCACAGGTAGGGCTCTAGACACGAACACCTGTTGCCGGCATGATTTGCACTGAGCTTCTTTTGCTTCGTGTGGTCTTTGGCGTCTTCACCCTGCGTGATAGCAGAACTAGATATCAGGCTATCAGTATCGTTTGTTGTTGAGGGGTCAAGTTTCATGGGGATGGACCTCATTGGGTTGTGATTTCTTGGTGAGTGTCAGTAACCTGATGGAACTGATCGCTGGTAAGACGGTTTGGTTAGGGACGTCCATACCCTCATGGCAGAATGTGTTGCATACCTGCTACTTGATTTCGTATGGATTGATGGTCTGTGCTGAGGACTCTATAGCATCGCATGTCGTGAACAGTATCTGGTGTCCGTTTAATAGTACAATGCTTTATCCTCTCATCATCATGGTTCGCTATAGATACAAGCACTGTCTAATTTTGTATCTGATATTTCACTTGGTGGTACATGCTTACAGGTATTCGGTAGTATTCTGGGCTACTCCACCCAAATACGAGAAAGCACTTGGTGATGTGGAAAACTCGCCTAAGACGATTGTTTTCAAAACGGCCTCTACGAGCAAACGCCGGTTCTAGAATAAATATCATGCATTAATATTGGGTTGTTAGGGCGAATTGCGGACTGCGTGATTGAAAAACCTTATCCCTATTCTACTGAGCTATTCTACCACATACTGTGCAATAACTAGAATGAGGTAGCACTACCCATCGTACATTGTTATATGAGAGGTGTAGCTTACTGTTTTGCAAACCGGAATGTGTGCGCACGCCCTTTATGTTCTCTTCTTTTTCATTTTTACAATTTATTAAGGGTTTATCTTATTCTGCCATTTAATCAAGTATTCAACCACCTGACCAATTCTCCATCGTTTTCTAGGATCGATCTGAAGCATATTTCTTAAAAGCGTCCGCATTTCGGGATCAAACGTGGCCCACACTTTCTGGGTGCCAAGATTCCTATTGTCGTGCTGATATATCGAGTAATTCGTATCCTTCAAAGATGCTTCTTTGAATGGCAATTTGCGCGAGAGCATGGAATAAAATGTGACGCCCAATGACCAAACGTCACACGCCTTTAAGTCCACATTTAGAACCTGGTCACCCCAGGAATCATGCATTTGCTGTGCTACAATCAATTCGGGCGCGATGTATTGCATTGTACCTATCATGTACTTCTTGATGGTTTCGTCGACGTACGCAGCATCCCCAAAGTCAACAAACTTCATGGATCCATTGGTTGTGTCCGAGCAGATGTTGTCAGGCTTGATATCTCTATGAACGACACCCTTTGAATGCATGTGTAAAAGCCCACTCGCTAATTGTCTCGCATATGAAACAAAAACCTGTGCATTCATCCCTTCTCGTTTCCTGGTGACCACCTCAACCAAGTCACCGCCGTCTAAAAGCTCCATCAAGATGTAAACCTCGCGATTATCGAAGTCCTTCAACATATTCGCAACTCCGGCTATATTAGGGTGCTCGCTTACAGTTTTTTGTATGTCGAATTCGCGTTTTATCTGGGACAAGAACGGCCATTTTACCTTCTTCAGAGCAATCTGCTTACGCATAACTAGATCGGTACATTTCGACACCACAGATGTTGAGCCACGTTGTAGTATCTTCTCGTTCTTGAAACGTCTGGATGGGTCGCCTCGGAGAGACCGCTGGCGAGTTTGTGTAAGCGTAGGCCTTCGTGCAACGTTCGGTGTATCAATTGATATCACGTTTTTGTTCGGGATGCTGCCTACTTGTAGCTTTGTTGTTACGGATGAATTGCCAAAACAGGGGACGAATGACATCATTAACGTAAACGTCTAAAATCAAATATTAAAGTATGTGTTTATGTGTTGTGATGAATCCTAAAATGAGGCACACGCATCAAAGCGAATCGTATTTGTAGTACATATTAAATCTCCTCGAGTGCAATATACTATAGTTGCAAATATAAAACTGTGAACGAGGGGCTTGAACTTTGAACAGACGGCTCACTTCTGTACTTTTCTCCCAGAGAGGGCCAGAGGATCTGAGAAATGATCCGGTCGGCCTTTCTTGTAACAAAAGTGAGTACACCCTACGAAACAAAAGTATATTTTTATGAACTATATTTAAATAAATAAATAAAATGAAAATCAGCTGTATAAAATGGCCTGTACTCTGTGGTTACCTGAACTCAGGGCTGGCTAGTAGCTACTCTCACTCCAACAGAGTCTGGTAATGTTTGCAGTTTGACTTTGATCCCAGGGCCAGGAGTCCAGGAGTCCAGGTCGTCCAGGACCCAGTAGTGAGTAGAGTCTATGTATTATTTATATATAGATATTTTATTGATTGTATCGCTGCAGGGAAACTGAATTCTGATCACACAAACCACAATAGTGGACCCTGTTGTGTTTTATATACATAAATCACATATCATGATTCCATACGGCATAAGGTGACACGGAGCTCTATCAAAAAAATGCTATATCATTGCTAATCTATATTGGAAGTAGAATCTGGTACACTAGGAGTTAATTTAAAGTTTCGAGAGTAATATAGCGACTGACAGGCATATTCAGATATTTACCACCCATACAGAATAACAGAGGTCAGATTTTCGCTGCCATTACAGACTACTGTACTCTACATACAGTGGAGTGAGTTTGAGTTCCAGACTTTAGAGGCTTGTTCATCATGTGGTGAACTGGAGTCTGTTGATGACTGGTCACTGGTGTTGCCTGTCAAAAGTAAAAACTAAAAACCACATCACATGAGATAAAAATTTGTTCATGTTTTACAAGACCACAAGAAAGAGTCAAAAGATTTCAAAAATAAACCCCCACAATTTTTTAATTGACACTCTTGTTGTTGACTTGTTGTTCGACAATCGACATTTTTTTTACCGAGGAATTGGTTTTTTTAATAAAATTGAACAAAAAAACCATCAACGACGTTTTGTTTCTATAAAACTACGGTCAAACTCTATTTATATTGTCCACCTCCATTATTGTTTACCTTTATTTTTGTCCAGTTCTACTCAGACGGACCCACTATTTTAAGTCCTTTATAAACTATATAGAAGGACAATCTGCAAACCTCTTGGATGCTACTCCGTGTTTAATGGGAAACTACAACTGCCAAAAGCATTGCCCATTCCTGGCTAAAATCAACTTGTCGTCCGGAGGGCGCCCAACCTGATAAATAATGCGCCCGAGTATGCCGTAGGGAAGAAAGCGGAATCATTGATCTCACAGCAAAGATCAAGTCATATTATATAACACTTATTTCCAACGAGCCCATAACATCCGCATTGATAATTGAAGTGAAAGATTGGGTTGATGAATCAACCGAAATGTAACCATCGAATATCGAAGAGATACTATCATATGAAGAGATGCTGGAGCTAAAAGTTGAGAAGGAAATACACGATGAGTGTGATGAAGACAGTGAAGAGTTCAAAACCACGAGTGAATAACAGAAGGATCATTTTGACCTCTTGAAGTCTTGTGAATACAATCGCGCAGAGAGTATCAAAACAATCCAAGCAATTGTCATGTTGTAGGCGCAGTACAAATCAACAGTCCAATTTTTGGCCGAAATAGGACCCTAGACAATAATCCAGGTTTGACTGTACCTACATATTTCTAAAAAAATAGCATAGCCTGATATGTATATGATAAGGTTCAATTCAGGGGGTGGGTCAAAAATACCCCCCCACCACCTCCAGTTAAAAGTACCCACAGCCAACTGCGGCACAGCCTCACAGGCCACAGCCCACAGTCCACAGGTCCACAGCCCACAGGCCATACTCCATACTGTCATCATTTTGCCGAGAAATCCGGAAGGCTCACTCTTGTTGTGGAGTTGGAACTTGTGGAAGCTGGGACATTAATCTGGTAAATGACAATAAATATACAAAACGACATGTCGTATTATCAATAGTAAATGAGGTCGTTCCAACGATATTTAAAAAAAATATCCTAGAAGATCAATTAAATAACATATTTAAAAAATATGTAAATAGTGGTTGACTCATGAGAGTATGACTGCCACTGGTTGGTACTTGGCACATAAATAGTTTTGGACCTTTGGCAATTTTAAAATACGGTAAATACCACAAGACACAAGTGTCAAGTGTGGAAGTTAAAAATTAGAAAGTGACTAAAATACTGGACATATGTGTATTTGTATTATGTTTTAAAAAAAAACGAGAAAAAAAAGAAGACTGACATACTGATGACACACGTAGCCTTCTAAATTATTTATATAAATATTTACAGAAGGCTATCACCTGGCTATGAGCCTATGACTGACAAGTATCTACAAATATATATATTTTTATAAAAAATATATGTAAATATTTTGAATATATTTTTAAAATAGCCGGCTTTTGTTTTTTTGTTTTGAGTTAAAAAAAAAGCCCCCAAAATAACAAAAAGACATACAGTCGTACACTGTACAGTGTATTTACAGTCGTATACTGTGTTAAGATTGCCTGAATTCTTAAAAAATATACACAGGTATATAATTAGCGTTTTACAATCAAAATATGAGTTTTACCTGGACGACATAAAATAACAATGCCTGTAAATCTATTTTTAGAATGTTATCTTATAATATAGCATATGTACCAAAACTGACTGTAAATGAAATCTTATAACGTGTTTTTATGCCTACTTTGAGCACATATCTTCCATTGTCGACTCACTTGGCCCAAGCTTCAAACGGGAATTTACTGACCACTTCTTCCCATCAATCTTTCCTAAACCACTACAGCGACTATGCGAGCCATTCCATATGTTCATACATTGTATCATACATACTTGCCATTTTTGAAAAAATAATATTATCCCTACTTCAAGCATACACGTGTATTTACATAGGGATAATATTATTTATTTCAAAAATGGCAAGTATGTATGATACAATATATGAACATATGGTATGGCTCTCATAGTCGCTGTAGTAGTTCAGGAAAGATTGATGGGAAGAAGCTTCATAGCGATCCTTTACAGGTGATAGTATGGGTGTAGTTGGCCTTAAACCTTTGATAGAACCCCTCCTAGTCGTAGTACCTATCTCGCGATTTATAGGAACAGTGGTAGTAGACGCAAGTATTATTTTCGATACTTTCGCATGCGCAGACGCATGCATCGGAGATTGTATTAGAGCGCAGCTATGTTAGCTTCCTACAACAATGTGCGTCGTCAATCTACAAGCTGCAATCTTCAGATAATGGTCGCACTAAAGTTGACCTTGTAATAAGTCGGGCCTCCACATTAGACTCTATGTTAAAAACTTACTCTTAAGCAGTACGTAAATTATAAACGTACTCTTAATAGTACGAGGAACTTAAGTTTCCTAAACGTACTCTTAATAGTACGAGGAACTTAAGTTTCCTAAAATGGGTTTAAT